CTTCTAACATTCACATTTGTATGCCTTAAAGCAGAAACAGGAAATAATAGTCATTCAAGATCCCTATTGGTGGAGACCTTGTGAGTTTAAGAGAAAATATGGGTTGTACCATCAATAGTTGCCTGAGGTTCTAATTTTCTCATTAAGGTGACTAAGTACAATGTATTGATCATGCACAATCTGGTCCATTGTTCAGCTACCAACTGCTGTGAAAATTGAGGGAAAAAAGAATAAATCATATTTTTGGGTGTTGAGTTATTTTGTTTAGGGCTAGTCAGCATCCTTGGAATCAAATGACTAATACTGGAACGTCTCCAGCTCTTCACAGTACAGAAAGCACACCATCCAAGCACCACAGTTTACACTGAATATCAAAATGAACCACAGCTATGAAGTTTGCATCCTTGGCAGTGTTTGATTGCTGTGTCTCTCTTAACCTGACAGGGGCCTTTCTTCTGCCCATAATTCACCTAAGTCAAAAAAGCACAAGATTTTGTAGAAAATCTTGTCATCGAACTCAACAGTGCCTTTTGGACTGTGCTCTCTGAACTATGCAGATTCTCGTATCCTGCCTGGGCATTCAGGGGCTGGGAGCCCAGGCTACAAAGTCTAAGCCAAGCCCCTCATGTGGCTGAACTCATCTCCACTACAAGAAGGTCAGCATTTGATGGGAAGGAATAGATATTGTGTGTTTTCTGGACATGTTTCAGATAAAAACTTTTTTCTCAAAGATGAGCTATTATAACTTGACACTAGAAAATGCTGAGCAAAAGGCACACTGCTCCACTGTTGGTGGCAGTGTAGACTGGTGCAGCCAGTATGGAAATCACTATGGAGACTTCTCAGAAGACTAGGATTGGAAGTTCCATTCAATCCAGCTATTCCCCTCCTGGGTATTTCCCAGAAAAACTGAAAAGGTCATGTCACAGTGATATATGTGCACCCATGTTCATAGCAGCACAATTTGTAATAGGTAAATCTTGGAAACACCAAGATGCCCATCCACTGCAGAGTGGATGAAAAAGATGTGATACAATAGAATATTACTCAGCTTTAAAAAAAGGATGATTTTGAGGTCTTCCTAGGTAAATGGAGGCAACTTGAGACTATCTTCATAAGTGAAATAAATAAGAATATATTTATAAATATCACATTGTGTCTCTAGTGTAAAAAGTAATGAGAACTGTAGGAGTAATAAAACCCAAAATGTGTAATTGCTATTGTAAAAAAGAGAGGAAAAGAGAGTGCTCTAGAAGATATAACTGCATGTATCTTTAAGTGTATTAGATAGATAACCATATTACTAAGTTTTTGTTGGATCATTGAGCAGAACTGTTTGCAGTCTCACTGTCTGAATGTCCACTTTGTATGCTTTAATTTTGTAACGTGAAGAACTATTTCTAAGATGACAGTATGTAATTTATCAACTAGTGATTTCTTAGTGGTTTTTAAAAATTCTGTATTATTTCGACCATTTTTTGTTTTGCTTTTTTCTCTTTAAATAACATTTTTTAAAAAAGAAAAGAAAATGCTGAGCATGGAAGAGAGCAAACATGAGTCAGTGAGGGGGTTGGAGGATGCACAGGAGATGTCTGTTTGCCAGAGCTGCTGGACAGTCAGATACGCATGCTCTCGTGTGTCCCTCACGATGCCAGTGCCCTCTCCCTCAAATCCCGCTGGCCGTGTGCAGACTGAATGCATTTGGCAGCATCAGCCCTGTACCTGCTATTTATCTGAGCCAGGGCTTCGTTTCTGGAACTTGCTATTGCAGGAATACATGCCTGTGTTGTGACATTCCAGCTTCAACTTCTGTCATAATAATCCTTCTCCTGGCCCACAGTTCTATGAAAATCAGCCCTAAGATAAGACTGTTGTGATATTTTAACTTGCTAATCAAATTAAGTGGATCTTCTACTGAGATAATACGTGTTCTATCACAAAGGCCAGGGTATTGGGTTCATGATAAGCTTCATTCTAACAGAGACTTCAGGAAAATCAGCACACAGGTGCTCAAATTCAATTCGGCCACCTCTCAGCCCAGTTTGAGACCTAGTTTTTAAAAAGTAGTTTAAAGGCAAAGACTGCAAGACTGGAATGCAGAGGTCGGTGTTCTGGTTCTAATCCTCTGAATAATTCTGCCTCCTCCATGCCTGAGTCCAGATGAGACCTCCCCTCCTGCGTTTCACTTGCCATTTCTATGAACAGGAACTCTCTGAGGGCTGAGGCTGTGTGCTCTTCTTCACAGCCTACTGCTTGGTGTGGGCACTGCCACTGACCAAAGAAGTAAATAAGCTCATGTGCGCACATTCACACTTGTCTGCATGTGGGTGGGGAAGTGTGAAAGGGAGCATAGAAGGGCCTGTTCCACGCTGTCAGTGTGAGGGTTGAGGATAATGTAGACGGTACAGAGAAGGACCGGAGGTGGGGAAAGCCAGGCAACAGGAAAAAGATGTTTTGAAAAGGCCTAGCTGCGTGATATGATCTTCTAATAGAAGTATGTGTGTGCACGTACAGATAAATTAGGGAGAAATGGCGATGTGTGTACATAAAGGCAAAGCAAGTTACAGACTATTTCAGTTAAGAGCTACAAACAAAACATCCCGTATATCTTTTATATTGCATAATTAGGTTTAAATGGGCAAAAGGGAGGGTGTGTGTTGTGGGATTGTTGGTTGCTGATGACTCACAGTTGAGCTCCTCTGCAGCTATTGCCCTCAGATAAAAGGAGCTTTTTTACCCAAAATTGTGCCCACCTCCTTCTTATGGGCAGCTGACATGAAAAGAATGGCCTATATAAGGTCCAAAGACTGTACCCTTTCTCAGGGTACAGCTCAGGTCAGCTCAATGTACCTCCTAGTTGGTTTTTCTTCCTGCAGTCCCACAGATGTGATAACACAAGCACAAGCCCAAGGAAACTTCTAGATGCATATCCAGTCTCCATCTGTTTTTTGAGACACTGTGATTGGGTAAGGGATATATACCAATCTATTAAAATGTTACCTAAGGGACAAAGAGGGGGAGAAGTGATTAGCTTTTTCTGCAGGCATCTTCATATTGATTCTCTTATTACTGTATCACCTTTCCAATGTTAAGAACATTAAATGAAAACATTTTAAACCATAATAAACATATATTAGTTGAATGAGTTGATAAATGAATGTGTCTATGCCTTGTTGGAGAAATTGATAAATGCTATGTTGGAAGGTATTCAGTGTTTAATGGACTCAACTGTAGGATATTTTGCCAACACTTTTCATAAGTTTTAACTTAGTTGATTCAAAAGAGATTGGACCAGCTTTCTAAGGATCAAAGTCACCTTCACAGATAGGATGAGAAAAAGGGAAATAGGAGGAAGACAAAATGAGGGGGAAGGAGAAATTGTCTAATGTCAGAGCTCTGTCTTCAAAATAAGCTGAAAAGTTTGTGCAATTGCTACCCAAATTACAGTGCCCAAAGAACTTATGCTTATTTTCATTCAGCAAACAGACTAGAATTGGAAGAGGAAGGTGCTAGGTATCTTTGTGTTCTCCAATACCTCTCTATCTCAGGCACCAGCAAAGCATTGGACCATTCTTTCTTTAGTGACACAGCCTCAGAGTCCTTGACGACCCCACTCTGCAGGAAGCCTGTTGACATACTGGAGGATCCACCAGACACAGAGTCTATGTGTCCTTCCAGAACTGAATGACCTTTACCCTTCCTCCAATTCTGAAGTCCCATGAGCTCCTCCATTCATTCCAGAAAACTTAAATAAATGATCAATTCCATACTTAAGCTAAATGCTTTCTACTTTCTCTCTGAGACTCTAATCAAGTTTTGCAAACGCATCTTCTCTAGATGCTTTTAAGTGAGATCCTTGAGGCTTAGCAAAGTTCGTGAGAAGGAAGCCCTTGACAGCATAATTATAAAACTACCAACTATGTTGACAGGTATTAGCAATCAGGGAAAGGCTTGGTCTGAGTTCTGCATAGGACCCCTGATTAAAAAGACTGATGGGTAAGCTTGTTCAGAAGCTTCCCACTTGTAATTCATAGATACTCTCCTGCTTCTTGCAGTGATTCTAACCTGAGAGAATTGTTTTTCTTGTTTACTTGCTTGTTTTCTTTTTCTTTCTTTCTTTCTTTCTTTCTTTCTTTCTTTCTTTCTTCCTTCCTTCCTTCCTTCCTTCCTTTCTTCCTTTCTTCTTTCTTTCTTTTTCTTTCCCTTCCTTCCTTCCCTTCTTTCTTCTTCCTTCCATTCTGTCTCTGTTTCTGTCTCTGACTGTCTCTCTCTGTGTCTCTGTCTCTGTCTCTCTCTGTTTCTCTCTCTCTCTGTCTCTGTCTATCTCTGTCTCTGTCTCTCTCTCTCTCTCTCTCTCTCTCTCTCTCTCTCTCTCTCTCTCTCTCTCTCTCTGTCCTGTGCTGTCATTGTGCTTTGGACAAGAATAGAAACAGAGAATGGGGCAAAGATTCTGACTGCAAGGAGAGTCCAGAGAGTCCTTGAAAGTCAGGACTGAAAGAAACATACTTAAAAAGGCTTATGATTAATGGGTGACTTTTGTGACATAAGACTAATCAACATGCTGAGGATATTAAGGAGATAAAAAGGGGATCTGGTTTGGGGAGAAAGGTATTGGCTGGGAAGAAGCTTCCTGGAGAAATGCAAAACATTTGTCATAATCAGATCATCTAAGTATGCACTACAGTCATTTTCAAAAAGCCTCAATTTGTTGAATAAAACACATTCTTGGATTTATAATCATTCTAAAGAATTTCTACCTTAAATACTTACCATGTTATTGAAAAACTATGAAAATTAGTTTTTAAAATTAGTGAAACAAATTAAACTCTAAAGTGAAAAAGTAACTTAAAAAGCACCAGTTGTCTTTGTTTTAGGAATCTTAGATGATACAACCCCAACTTGATTTAAAGAAAAATGAAGTGTTTAGAATAGAAACAGACACTGAAGTTCCTTATTTTGAAACCATAACCATATTTCTACCCGACTTCTTTCTGTTTCAGGAATTTATATCGTCCTTACGGTACAGAGAACAGATATCTTTTGGAGTTAGGCTTAAAGAAAGCGTGGTCAAGAGAATACATCAGAAACACCATCACAAAAGGTACTGTTTGCTGCGAACCTTTTATGATTTACCATACCAAAGTCCAGCTTCAGTCTCTCACTAGTAACTGTATTTCCCAGGGCTCTGATCCTTTGTCTCTGAAACAACTGCCTGGAAGGAATAGTCTCACCTAAAATGAGGTGGCCAATCGCATCTGTTCTTCTGGGCTCTATTTGGTCTATGAAAACAATGGAGAAATAGAATTCTAATGTTTTTGATGTCTCATAAACTATTTCTCAAATGCATTTCATGAGACAGTTGGTAATAAACGTGTGTTACTGTGCTCTGTTTCCCCAAGAGTCTAGACTTGCTTCCCAGCCCACCCGTGCTTGCACTGAGCCTGCTTGAATCAGTGCTAAATTATTCACCACCCTGACTCTAAAATTTCTAGACTTCCAAAACCCCTAATAAAGTATTATGAAAAAATATCCATCTCTTTATCTCTATCCATAACTATTTATATGGCTGGAGGAAAAACCTGTCGTTTTATTTCTTTTAATTTAAAAGCTTTCCTAATTCCTTTTTCCTGCCACATATATATGTCTAAAGAATTTTCAGGCTGAAATAATAACCTCTAAAAAATGGTCCACAAGAGAAGACTCTGAGGATTCACAGAGTTGACAGGCACAATGAATATTTTGCCGCCTTAATAACTTTCATGGCCCTCAAACCTGCTTCACTGGAGTAGGAACTTTTCAAACAGGCATGGCCCTTTTGTATTGTACAAAACAATGATAATGTACTCAGCAGCCTTCTCTCTCTATTTGTTTATACAGCTGTTAAAATTTGTTTGGGAAAAACTCATTTCTTCCTGAGATTTATCATGTACTCAGTACTCATCGTGGTATTCTAGAGACATAAGACGAGTATTTTCTGAAGCTTGTGTGTAAATCAGCCCATAATATCCTCAGCAACATCTTACCTCACTTGGAGACACTTGACATTTGAAACATTTCAATATTCAAAATTGCAAGAGACATGATCACATGAAGCTGGCTGTCAGCCACCCGTATGAGAGGGTAAATTGATTAATTTGATGCTTCTAGGCCACCAGCTTGTTGAGATCAAGTTCTTTACAACCAAATAGAACTGGAGCAGGCAGCCCAGCAATTTGAGGGACCTGTCAGAAAAAGCATCCCCGGAGATGTATCAGTATGGAGATATTTTCATATTTGACAAACTATTTGCAATGGAGTATTAAACTCTTCACCCAATGAAATTTCTCCAATAAAACTCTTGATAATATACTGCCTTCTTAGGAAAGTTTCAATGTAAATAGGTGATTTAGGGTGCTGTCACTCTTTTCTGGTAATATGTTAAAGAAATAGTTAAAGAATATTGTTGCTGTGGTTACTTTTCCTTCATTGCTGGGACAAAATACCCAACACCCAAAACAAAGGAAGAAAAGGTTTATTTAGCTCACTGTTTGTGGAGGTTTCAGTCCACAATCAGCTGGCTCCAAGGCAGGATGACATAGTACTGGGACACACTTCAAGACAGCAGCCAGCAAAAGCAGCCAGAGCAGAAGGGAAGATGTAGCACTCACAAAATTTCTGTGCCCTCCTTTTGCACAGGATAAGGATATTTACAAAGCAAGGATCCTGACTTCCTGCTGAGACTCTGTTAAACTTCTCAAGTTGACACAATGTATCAACCATAACAATTGGTTAAATGTAGGATGAGTAATTAATGTGACAGGATATCTATGTATTTTCATCCACTTCTGCTATCTGAGGCCTTTGGTGGAGGGCTTGGAAACATGAAAGAGGGGGCCAAGGTGTTTGATTGAGACCCTGTGTGGGGAGGGGCTGCTGAGAAATGATGTGTGGCAGCAGGGAAGGGAAGGACAACTGAGGACAAGTCTAACCATTACATCTGGAGATGGATTCACTCCAGGAAACAGCACTTTGCTCTTGGTTTTGCCTTTGGAAATCAGCTCACAAGCTAAGGCAAGAATGCTCGGGAACAAGATGAGCTTGCCATTAAAAGGATGGTCAGGATTGGGGTGGGGAAGGATTATGACCCAAGACCTCACCAGTGTGTGCACACTAGGGTCACAGTCCATGATAGTATAAAGCTGACAGAAGTCCCTGAGCCCAGGGAAAGGCAAACAAAGGTAAATGGAAAGGACTGACCTTAGGTAGCTAACAGCTGCCACGGGGCCCAGGCAGGTCGGGGCTGAGGGGTCCAGCTGGCTCCTCAGCTTGACACGCAGTGCTCAGAGATAGTCTTTGGAAGCACCAGCTGTTCTGCCTATTAAGTTTGGAAGCCACCCGCTGGCACAGAGGCCATCTACCTTTCCCTGCTGGGCCTTGTTCCACATGTGATCATCTTCATAGGCGATTACTACCTGTCCAGATTGATGTTCTGGGTCGTGCTCGCACTTACAAACTACTTCTCACTAACATGGCCTGGTGTCGTAATTGCAGAAGCTATCAGTCAGGAAGGCAGGAAGGTGTCTCACAGCTCTACGGCAATTCAAACCAAGGTGCTTTATCAGGCGAGTCTGAACTACCTGGTTCAGCTTGCTTCTTCTATCTTACCTTCAATCCCCATGCATTTGCAAGCAGCTTACTTTAAGAGCTGATTAGATGAACCTTAATAACATTAGAACTTAAATGGTCCCAGATAGGCTTTCAGCTTCTTGCCAAATTGAGATAAATGTGATATTTGGGGAACTGAGCTCCCAGCTTTGTGGCTGCTCTGGTCTGTGCATGGCTCTGCAGCACTCCATTTTCTCCTGTAGCTTTTTTGCAACATAAAATTGGGTTTGTGTGCATCTTTCAGGTCTTTTTCATGTCTCAGAATCTATGATTGCATGTGTAAATGAATCTCTATGATCATGCGTTTTCAAAGAAAGTTAATCTGGGGACAAAAGGCACCAGACAGAATTCTTTTTCAATTATGATAAAACTCTTTTTGCCTCCACACCTTCTGGGAACTTTCCTTCAGGCTAGGCAACAACTTTCACTGGGAAACTATTATTTGGTTATTTAATTCAATGTTAATTTTGTTAATACCACACTTTGACCAAGAATCATACAAACTAGTCAGAAATGTGGTTGTCTTATTGCACAAAGATGTTCAGCACCTTCTGTAACTTCTGTGAGTGGATTCATGTTCCAGAGGAGCAAACTCATCCATCAAGAAAATAGGTATAGCCTTCTGGTTTAATACCTGTCTGTGAAGTTTAGAAAAAGGTAAAAACAGAACAAGAAAAATAAAACCAACAGTAAATATAAAAAATTGTTCCATGTTGGTATAAAAGTATTCTCATAAACAAACAAAAAGGAATTTTTTTCTCTTACTGTCTTGCCTCTTCTAAACCAGATGCCTAGGTATACCCAGAATCTCTGGAAACTCTTGAAAATAAGGTTTGCTTTTCTGATTGTGGGTGGTCATTCAAGAAGTGTCGTTGAACCTAAGTTTTTGAAAGCCTTTCCAAAGCTCAACAAATGTAGCCACTCTTTCAGCTTTTCAGAAGTTAAACCTTAAGCTTAACCCTTGCGTTTGGGTTTGCATTTGGGTGGGAAAATACCACCTGCTCAGTTTTCCTGACTGGCCGCTAAGAGCCCGGGGGTGCCACCTAGGAGATGAGAAAGCTGGAGTGTGGGTAAGGCTAGGGGAAAACTCCTCTTGCTCTGACCCAGGGAATCCAGAGCTCATGGCAGCCTCTGGGGACCACTGAGGGATTTTGAAAGATTTTAAACTGTGGCTGGAAACAGAAACCACAATCGAATGTGTGCAGCTTTTTGGGCTGCCTGATAAAACTGAGACTGTGGAAGCTCAACAAAATATAGCTATAGAATCGCAGTGTATAACTATCCAAAGCTCCCATCGGTCAGGGCTCATATGACTATTCCATATGGAAGGGAAAAAAGAACATCAGAGATATTGGCAGAGCCTTCAGGCTTAGCCCTGCACTCTAAGGAAAGTAAGCATTCCATCCTGCTATGACAGGCTTTCATAATGAGCGTGTCATCTAAGAGGTCATTGCTCATGATGGTATGTTTTAAATACTGTACTTGTGTTTTCTTTCAGTATCTTGTGATTTACGTGTAAAAAAGAAATTAAAGGTGCTGAGTGTCTCAGCTAGAACTTTCCTGCAATATTTTCTCTTCTTTCTAAGCTTGGGGACATATAGAAAGAGCCTTTCTACCCTGCATAATGGTACATGCCTGCAATCCCAGCACACTGAGAGGATGAGATAGAAGGATCACAAGTTAAGAGTACAGCCCGGGCAATCTTAGCACTTAGACCCTATCTCAAAGTTTAAAAACAAAATTGTGATCAGAGCACAAGCCCTGCATTCAATTGCTTGGAAGACACATACAGACACGCATAACTCCCCACCCCACACTCACAACACACACACACACACACACACACACACACACACACACACACACACACATTCACACACACACACACAAAGCCTTAGTAATTTCGCCCTGCTCTCCTCTGAATGCTTCTACACCTTAACTTGCTTTCATCTTGCCTTGTTACAGGGAAAGCATGCCCCCTGTTTGCCAAAGGCTACCTTTGCTGACCTCTCTGTGCCTGCCTTATCCATCCCTTTCTAGAGCTTGATCCATTTATTGGTCCTTTCCACTGATTCTTTCTTCATTTGTGTTTTCTCTCAGTTTCTTCTGCTTGTAGATGAGTCCTATAACCATTAAAACAAACCAACAGGCAAACAACTAAGGCTTGATTTCCTCTCTATCACCTCCTCTTCTTCTGAATTATGTGGAAAATATTCTATTTCACTTCTCATAGTAATTTACCTTTTAATCCTATGGAAAATAGAATGGTTTTCCCACCTATGTGACGAGTTCAATACAATTTAGGAAACATGCTTTGAACACATGCTATGTGCCAAGTCTAGTCTGGATCCTGACCATAAGCAGAATACACTCTTACAAGGAAAGCAGGCATGCCCAGCCCCTGCTCCAAATGACAAAGCAGGGCAGTGTATGGAGAGACGGAATGAAGTTCTATGA